CAGACACGTTCTTTTATGTTGTTCATATATATATATATATATGCATATATAAATATATACGCATGCTTCGGCGAGCAGAGAACACAAAAAAAGGTGTCTCGTTGAAAAAACGTGTTTAATAATTCTTTCTCTTTTGGGTGGATCGTAGCTATATATTTATTACTAAAAGTACATGCAGGTTTTCGTACCGTGGCGTGATTAACGTCTTTACTATCAGGATCTTTGTATCGATTTAAGCGTAATAATGGCAATGTCGTGGCATTCGTTTCCCATTTGTTCAACCTTTTTTGGTTTCCCCATTTTTTACTTTCGTTATAATATTCTTACTGTTAATCTCCCATTTCTTTCAATTACGCGGACGTAACAAAGAAGAATCGGTGCGACAAATTATCTTTTTTTTTTCATTCCTTCACCTCATTTCCCTTTTGCGATTTTTTTTCGCTTTTCTTCTTTCTTATCCATCATGAAATCTCGTTTTACACACGAAGTAAGGCTAAAAGACAATGCGCAGTTCTTTTTATATTTTTCCATTTTTTTTCTTAAACTTTGTTTTTCGGTAAGGCACCCCCAGTGCTGAGTATATTCACGGAAGTATTTAGCAATACAAACTAGTGACTAGATCATGTTTAAGTCACGCGAGGAAGAGAGACAAAGATAGCAGCGAATATAACAAAGAACAGAGAAAGAAGAAAACAAGAAGAACAATAGTACAGTGAATACGTATTGTGCGAGGCAGAAATAGAAAGAGAGATTAGGAAGGGAAACGATAGATAGGAGTAAAAAGAAGCCAATGAAAAACAGAATGACGTACGACGAAGGGAGCGAAGAAAAGTCAAGAGTAGGAAATTGACCAACAGCGACACGAGACTCCAAACAAAAAGAAAGGAAAATCCGTTTTCCCAGCAGACGCGATCTTAAGCGAGTCCCATGTCGCGTCGATGGAAACAGTTTCTTTCGAGATAACTTTGTTCGTTTTCGTATTTCTTCCCCTGTTCTCTCCACCTCTGCTACAATTTCATGCGGTGCAATTTTATTATAGGAGAAAAGAATGAAAAAAAAGAAAAAAGTACCACGTAATATCGTAGGAGAGGGGGGCGATGGGACGAAAACGACGTAACAAAGAATGAAACGGATGAAACTGAATAAAAGACCGAATATTCGGTGAGAGAAAGTGATAGATGCGCAGAGAGCGAGGGAAATAAGGAAAAATGAAGGAAACGTAAGTAACAACTAAACAGAGGAAAGGCAGTGGTGCGTTACTTTGGTATTTTATAATTGGTGTTTCGCACGGATCAACTGAGGTGTCCGCGGCAACGTATCATGGGCAGAAGGTCATCGTCATCGTGTTTTTATATCTTCCATTTCAGAGCTTTTTTCCTTCTCTTCTCCCAGACTGAACACGGCATGACCGACATACGATAAAATCGTCCGTTCTACTATAATCGACCGCCGATAACAAAGCACGAACAGAGAGAGAAAATGACGAGGACCTAACTCGCGAACACGATTTTTTTTTATTGTTTCATTCGACTTCGTTTGACTAGGTTAGGAATACGATCCCCTTTCTTCCTTTGTTGTCCAGGAAGATCAATGCACACGATTTTCGTCCTGTTTTTTTCATTTTTGTTTGTTTCTTTTTTTTCCAAACGCGCTGGCCACGAGAAAAACAAGGATGAGGATGATCAATTTTTCGTCGTGTTTTACACATCGTCAGAGAGGATCGAACATAACACACAGCTTGATGAAGACTGTCGTCGTCGTGATGGCTGCTGAGATCCACGCCATACTTCTCCTGTTCTAAACGGCGGTTTCGGTGTGACTGTGACTCGACAGCCTTTCCACGTCTATCTCGGGTATGGTCAGCTCGTCTGGGTTGTTGTCGGCGTATTCGATGCTGCTCGTCTGCGAGAGCCGCTTACTTAAGGACGACTGTTTTCTCAGTACCTCCGCCAATGTAGTGGTGCTGTGCTCGCTCGTGTAGCGCGCGTCTAGGCCCTGCCGAAATGCGTTCACTACGCGGATCTGTAACCGGAAACCTTTCTGTCAATACAGAGCCTTCGTATCCCTGGCTATGCCACGAGCTTTGGGAGAAATACACCGTTAGATAAATCCACTTAGGTAGTCGAGGTTGATCCTCTATCCCATTATACCCATCGACATTCTTTTCGTTTCTCCTTTGTGCTTTCAATCCTAACAAATTTCCTTTATTTCGTTTGAATCTGAGAAGAAAACCAGTAAGAGTACTTACAAAATCAAATGATCCCTAATAACACTAATTTCCCCTAGATTTAAGTTTATATTCTTTTTTTCAGAAAAACCACTTTTTCCTTGGATTTTGAGACATCGAATGTCGAGGGGAAAAATGCATGTGGCTCAAAAGCAACAGTAAGTGACCAACGCTGGAAAGCAGGATTTTTTAAACAAGTCACGGGAACAAGTAGTGTCTAGGTATTTTTTAATTAAATCGTTCTTTGACGGATATGATGATCAACCTCCGCAGAAACAGATTAGGGAACAGTTATGTAGATATATATAAATATAATTATGTGTATGTATAAAGAGACAGAAAGCAGCGGCCACACGAATTACTAGAAGAACTAGCGGGGCGTTGATACCCTGCACGGCAAGGCAATAATTAGACAACAGAATTTGAAGAGCGACGTCAATGGTATCCAGAAATCATAGATTAAAAATACTTCCTTAGTAATAGATTAATCTGCTCACAAAATTTTCTTAATCTAACTTTTTCTTTCTCCTTATCTTCCCTGTTTCTTCCAACAGAATAATTAATTCCACGACCCATAGACGTCAGCACCTCAAATTATACTTGCAATGTCACGCAACACCACATGCACCTGTCGATCGTGGAGTCCTCCACTGTATCTCGTTTCCATATTCCATTTTGGTAACAAGATCGACTACTGCTTCAGACAACGCGCGATCATCGATGCAGGAAGCGGATATGCGAGGCTGAAAAGCGTCTTCACCTCCAGCTTACGTTAAGCGTAATCTCAACTATGTCTATATCAGAGATCCCTCTGTTTGAAAAAAGTGACAAAAAACAAAAATCGTTGAGTCCTTTATAAAGCTATTCTAAACAAAGCCAACACAGATACTACGTTTTTGGCAAAAAACACACTGTCCAAAAGTATACGCGTCTTGAGGCTGGTAGGACGCTTTTAATATCAATATAGCGATAGAAAAAAAAGAAAGAAAATTGGAATTCCACGCATATACACTTGCATCGTTTGGTGAGCTGTAATATAGCGTGACAGATTGCATACTGCAAGAACTTAGCATGCATTGGCGTAGTATCACGTAACCGATGAACATTGCTATATCCAAATCAGCCAAAAAATTTACCCCCGGATGGAAAAAGAACAACCCCCATCTGAAAACACCCGCGAGAGGTAACTTGTTTATTTTATTATTTTTCTCGATATAAATATATCACAATATATTCTATATATATATATATAACAGTAATATCAAATATATATATATATATATATACACATATACATATATACATATATATATATATATATATATACACATAGAATAAATCTCTCTTTCTTTTTTTTCTTCCTTCCTTTCTTGCATTTTCATGGAGGTGGCAGGAAAATGTGTCGCGTTAATGATTCACTGTGTATATTATAATTCATTTTTTCTAGATTCTCTTTTTTCTTAAATCATTTCTGATTGCTTTTTTTTTATTGTTGTTTGACAGAAAACATTGAGGGAATACTTACACGATGCGCCGTGGAGAGAGGTCCCCTAACCAGGCAGACAGTCAGACTCTTTAACCTGGTCGAATATCCGGTTTAGATAATGTGTTTCTCTGGTACTTTAAACATGCATGCTATACCACGCAATGCGCTCTGCTGATCAACGATTCTCCCCTCCACAGGGAGACAACGATCATCCCATTGAATTTGTGTTTTTCAGTTTGTCATTTTTCTTTTTTTTCGATTTTTCAGTTCTAAGCAGCTTACAGGTCAGTACACATGGTCTGGTGATTCCCCGCTTCACGAACGAAGCGTCTACCCTCTTTACTCTCATTACTGAATTACGTAGACGCCCGCTCATAATTATATATAGAGACGCGCTAGTAAGGTTAAATTTACCCTTTTTGAAGTTGGTACAAAAATAGCAGTGAGATAAGAAGAAGATTAATTCTTGTCTCTTTTTGATTGTAGCAAAAGCTTGAAGGAATTGGTATGTTGGTAAAGTACGCAAACTTATCGACAGCTGATAAGTAATGACGAAATGGAGGGAAGTCGCATCAATCGTGCCGCTAAGATCAGCCAGAGTGTACAAACTTATTACAAAACAGAGAGAGAAGGTGAATGGTGGCAAAGAGAAGTAAAGAAGAATCTTTCAATCAGTTCAAAAAGAAACCGTAACACGTCTTTGAAGATCATCAGAGAGGTACTAAAATCAATTATATATCGCTCGATTACATTATGTTATTCAACAAAAAAAAAAAAAAAGAAAATATTAATTGACCCTGACTTGGAGAATTATTTATGAGCTAACAAAAATTCTATCTGATACTCTACAAAGGTGAATCTTCGCTTCTCTATTTTGACGATCGATCGATATAGAGTATCCAGAGAAAAAAATAATTCTTTGTATAATTCGACTGTAGAAACTATCTTGTAAGCTAATCATAGCGTTAAACTTTCAGAAAAAGAGTGTCACTTTTAAGGATCCTTCACAGGACAGCCAACTTGCATGAATAAAGATATCCAGTATTGCAAAGGAGTACATACAAATCGCACACCGCTTTGCCAGGGACTGTAATTTGAAAGTATTTGTGGATCTGTGTTCTATACATAACGACCGGAAATACGTTCACTTAGGAAAAATGTAATTATATTAAATGTACTATAAAACACGTGGTATAGTCGTAATGCATGGAACATTAATAACGTGCCTGCGAACACGACGTGGATCGTGTGAATAAAAGTATGGATCATGAAAAAATGTGAATGTGGTATGTAGTAGTACATTGACTTTCGTTTGAAAGTTTCTATTGGCCAACTTCTGCGGCCATATTGTAAGCGACACTTGAAGTTAATATTCGATCGAAGTACATTGGTTCAGTCAACTTTATCATAGTGACCATTTTCTGTAAACAAAATAGTAGAATCGACAAAAGAGATGATGAAGTTACGCGAACCACGTCGTATCATAAATGCAATCAAAGGTATGGTACTATTTGCTTGCATGTAAGCATAGTTAGCCGAAAGGTCAGCAAAATGTTTGTGAAGTACAAAGAAGATGAGCCCTTGAGGTTATCAGGGCAGCAAATGGTACTGATTAAATAGCAGATGTTTAATTCAGATCTATTCAAAAGGATGGACAAATGTCCTGTGAAATTAGGGGAAATATCCCTGTTAAGCAATAAAAGAAAGATCTCGATCGAGCTATGTCCATTATCAATAAATGTCGCAACAAAGAATTTCATTTCGATGAAAAATTTTCGATTATATTCGATTATCTCATTTTCATAATTATTTTAGTAATTTTTAATAAATTTGTTTGTTAATAAAAGCAAATTCTAAAATATTATTTTAGATCTTACTAGATCTTGTTTCCAGAAAATATTTAGTAGTATTTCAAATTTAATAATGTTCATAGTTCTAGCTATTTCTGGTATATTAATGAATTGTATTTTTATCTTAGGTTTATTAAATATTGTCTTTTATCGAAACGAGAAAGACCGATTGATTTATCGCAATTTCTATAATTTTCGAAGACTTGGAAAAAACAGGGTAAAATCGTGAGATACGAAGTAACAGAGCGCAAAAATGCAGCGTGCCACTGAAAAGGTTAAGAGGAATTCTTTGTTATCGATCTATCGATAAACAATAGTAAGTTCTCGACACCAGTGATGATCTCTGATGGAACTCTTTTCACAAAATATAGTGATATTTTGTGAAATCCCCAAAATTATAATAGTATCTTAGTGATAATAGTTTTAGTAACAATTATTTTTTCATGTAAGTAGTATTTAACGTGCGTAGTGATTAACAAAGTTGTCATTAGTTAATTTAAAATAAAGCTATTGCTATATATATTTACTATAATGAACAAATATAGTACTAATAACTTTATAGTTGTTACTAATGGAAACAAAGTGCTACGTTTTTTCGTAATCCAAGATAAAGAAACACAGTACTACGTTAGTAAAACGGATACTGTGCGTTCCTAATTGCTTACAAATCTAACTGAAGCAGTTCTAGAACATAGTCTATTAAGACTATTTTCAAACATCTAATATTTAAAATAAAAGAAATTAACTTGTAATCAAATGTCACCAGGTGTCGAGATCCACAAAGAAAGAGAAATAGTTTGAGAAACAGAAGCGGCCAAACAATAGCTCGTGCGCACGCGCGCTATCATAGAAGTGTTCTATGGCTGTGTGTGTGCATTAGGGGAGATTCATACGTGACTAGAGGATGTCGCAGACGCATAAATCAGCGAGAAAAAGGGGAAATAGGGACCTGTCGATATGTACCACTAGTAAAAAAAATCCCTAACCTTTCCATTGCTTAAGATCTCTGGTAACTTTTATCACATTTCTTTTAGAGATAGTAAAAGAAATCTTATAATTAATAAAATTTTGTTTATTTTAGATTGAGTCAGAAGGAAAATGAAAAGGCTAGGAAAGATTAGCAATACCAACTTATAAAATAAAAATAGAAGACAAAAGGGGTAGAAAGAATGCGTGTAAAACGAAAAGCGTGTGAAAGAAACAGAGAGAAAGAGATAGTATTAGACAGAGATAGAAATTCTGTATGTATGTATGTCTGTGTAAAAGTATGCCTGTATGTATATGTTATATGTATATGTGTGCGAACATAGAGTAAAAACAGTTACAGTAGACAGTTACAGACAGACAGACAGACAGACAGACAGACAGACAGACAGATAGAAATAAGATAAAGATCTAGCGAAAGTGTGAAAGATAGAGCAGAGAGGAGCGCTTACAGCTTGGTCTGTCGAACTCTTGCTGTAGGGTACTGGTATCAAACGTTCCTGCAACTCGCCACCTATTACCTTCAAGAGTAAAGGATAATATCATGGTTATAACTGGATACAACGAGCAGTCAATGCACTTAACAGTACACCATTTCTCGAAATATTGGTGTACTAAAAAAAGTAATTCTTTTTTAACATTCCTGAACCTTTGTCCCGGTATTGAATAACACCACGCTCTCTGCCTGTAGGCACCTTTTAACTGATGAAATTATCTCTTTGAAATTTCCCTAGGAATAAATCCAAAGCTATATTTATAATTACCATCCCTCATGGAAATTTTGTTTAGCAGATTATACGAGAAACGATTGAACTGGCCTCCAGGGATACCAATTTATTATTTTAGAAACTACTTTGTTTGGTGTTTTGTAAGGAGTATTTACAGCAGAAACAGATATTTAGAGATAGTGAAGCTAAAAAGTGCCTGATCATCAATAACTATTGAGAAAGAAGTACACTTAAAAGTGGTAACCTGCTGGTTATGTATAATCATTATGTATATGTTATTCGCGTGAGTATCATTGGATGTGTAAAACTCGCGGCACTCGATCGCACGAAGTATATGGAAAAAGGAAATAAAAAAGATAACAGAGATTCATAAGTGGAAACCGAGAATAGCTCATACATGCAACGTAAGATATAACATCCTTGAAGATATACACCCTCGTACGATATGTTTTCTATTTATCATTTCTAAACGAAAACTGTTGTAAGAAATGCCTAGCAATGTATGTATTTCCCTTGTTCCATTGTTTGTTGATATTAACTTAACTTAGGTGAAAATCCTACGACGAGTGAATCCTATTACAGTGTCAAATTAATTAATTAACCCAGTGAGAGACGAGTTTCATAGATTCCACTTATCTCTGCACTTCGAACTTCTCGAGACCTACCCAGTGAGTTACAAAGACACACATATATAACAATGATCTTTATTACATGAAGTAATAATATTCTGTATAACGTCACGAAATGGTAAAAGTCTAGGACAATGAGTGAGTAGAATAAATCCGAGATTAGAGTTTAGAAAGTTCCGTAGAGACTCAATCTCAATATAGTAGAGTACTGCTCATCTAGTTGTATGCATCCCAATAGAGTACCGCGTGTTTAGTTGAGTATATAGAACACCGCGACGTTCAATAACAAAGTAGTCTACAGTAGAATAATCAATGACTGGCACAGTACCAGCTAGTAGTAAGAAGTAGTAGTCAGATGGACCGCAGTGAAATATTAACTTTAACTTCGTTTTGGAGTGCATCAAATCCGTCACTTTTTTTAATAATGTATGATACTTTTTGGTGAGTAGAATTTATTCATATAGAAGTTATTCATATAGAGTTCCGTTTTCAAGAAAAACTGAGATTGTATATCTGTTAAGTTTGCGTGTATTCCACTAACCGTAGTCTAGAATTACTTTACCCAGTTACTAGCTAGCTACGGTTACCTCCATTTGTGTTTACAAACAATATCAATCAGGATTTTGTTTATATATCTCTCAAAACAATGATATCCGCGTCTTAGAACTGAGAATTTTTAATTCTACTCTCTAAAAAAGCTTATCATATGTTGTGAAAAAGGATCACAAATTCGGTATGTCCCAAAACGTTCAGCCAAATATTCTATATTAGAGTTCATGTACATTAGTGTCTTAAGGCCATCGAAGAGTAACCTCAATTACAGTGCTGTCCACCAGTAGCAGGACTTCTAATATACCTTCAAATGATTTATATTTATATAACATCCTTTGTTTGATTATATCCATAGAGAGTACCGACAAGGTTTGGCTGTTAAACCTGGGGATGCCTCAGATATGTCTATGTATAACAAATTCCTCTATCATTATAATATATAATTTCTATAAGATATAATTTTTCAAACTTTTTCAACTTGCGAATAAAGTTTTGACACCGTTACTTTAATTTAATGCTCACACTCTGAAACAAAGGTATTTCTCTCCTTCCTGGGGAATTTTACACCGCAAGCGGCTCAGTTACGTGTTACGCCATAAAGGTGGGGGGTGACTACTCGAAAATGACCTTGAAGAACCAACATTTGAGAACTCTAGGATAGAATTAATTAGACGTATCTTAGCGATACGTTTAATAACTGATCTGCTGTGCAGGATTCCATCGACTGATTTTTTCTTCTTTTTATTGTATTACAAAGTGCAAAAGCATTAGTACGGTCTTTGAAAATAAAATCAGGCTCTGGAATCCCCGTAAAATCAATCGATTTACGAGCGAGAGTGGTGACTTACGAAACATACGAACAGAAATGTTAGGTGAGCGTGAGGAAAAATAGAATAAAGTGAAAGCTGATGTGCCTTGGTTCACAGCCGGAAACAGTGCTCTTGTGTACCTTTCCGGAAATGTATTTGTTTCGAAGCTTCACATGGCATTGGTGATACAACCATTATTTTTTCAATGCGAATAGAGAGATTGACAATTGGGAAAAATATATGTTCTTATTATGTCAGACGGAGAAAGCAGAAATTTATTTTCATTAAATGAGCCTGCATTGACAAGCTCGCAACTTATTTCTTTTTCTATCGTTGAGAAAAATCTCTGAGGAGAAGATGGACATTAGAAGCAGTTGAGTACTTTGCACTTTTCATTTCCTCGACCGTGAAGGAACATCGCGTGTTCGTGCAGCAGAATACGGTTTAACGCAAGCAATGCATAGAAACCACAGAAATGCTTTTTTCAGTGTGAGCATACAGTGGACAATCTTAAGTAATTTTCTCATCTTATACTTAATAAAACGCAACCTTTTCAGGCACTCATCTTCATTTCAAATTCTCTTAATTTCTCTACATTCATCCTTGATCTCTCACATAATGAGATAGTTAAGGAAATGCAGTGCCTAAGAAGTTAATCAGAATGCAGACTTTCATACTTCTTTGGTCTGAAAGATTCAGATCAAAAACAAGGCTCGATATAGACAAAGTGGACTCATGTTGAATTGTAGAGTTTTACAAAGTGCAAGCAGATACAGTGTAAGTTACAATACCAATAAGAAGTGAACAAAATAAAAAAGTTTCTCTATTGCAGTCAACAATACTTTCCTTGAAGTCTCTTTCACAGTGTTCTTTCTGATTCTGATAAGACTCCTAATACTTTCTATTACGCTGAGAATAATATGAAAAGACATATAGAAGTTTGGCTATAGCGAGTAAAAAAATAGAAATATTATGGCATCGCTTGAAGAGTAAGTAGTTATAGATATATATATATAATAATTGGATAGAAAATAATCCACATGGGAGAAAGATTTTCATAGAAAAATGCACATGGACCAGCATCGGTTGCCTTTAAGAATCACTATTTACTTTTATTCACCAAGTCATTGTGCAGATTTGTTTTTTCCATTTATAAGGACGCGAATCGAGAAACGAACTTCTATGACGCGCGCTCTTATTTTCTCCGTTCAGTAGAGGGATTAATGAACTATAAAATCGAATAATTAATCCTCTGCAATAGTTTAGTTAAATTAATTTCACAATATTTACAATTACGCTAACTATTTGAACTTGTCATTTCCTTAATAATAACTATTATTTCATTATACTTTACTTAATAGTCTATCATTGTCATAATCCTTTCTTTTTTGAATTTTTCTTGGAATGAAACTCCCAAGTATCACTCGTATACAAGAACTTAAAGAAATCTTACAGCTTCATTTGTCTCTCCACTTATTTTCTATATTGAATACTGGATCACAAAGAAAATTCTCTTCAAGGTAAGAAATAATTTAAAGAGAACTTATATAACACTGAGTATTTACGCGCTATCAAATAGAATGAAACTTTATGACGCAGTATGTATGTACATGCACTCCAACATCTTTTATGTCATATTTAATCAGATATAGAACAAATTTGTCGCATTAAAAATAATCACACATTTCGTATAAAGAATGTGAATGCAGAGGTTTAATATCACAGTGAAAACGACCGTAATACAAATAATTTTTGACGACATGAAAGAAAGAAGAGAAAATCCAATATATTAAAGATATACCTAAGAATGTTCATGCACCCTCTGCTGACCGGTTTCAATCAAATATAACATTCGGATAACGTGTCTTAAACTTTATTTTATATAATAACAATAATAATAATAATAGTCGCTAATAATAATTAATTAAAAATTAATATATATATATATATTATATTCTCTACGTGTATCGTTATAATTGGTAGTCGATCATTTTCATCATTCCCGTATAATAAACTAATTTTAATGCGTCAATATGTAAAACTGAACGTCTTCTCCCGATTGCAACATATTTTCTCTTATTGTTATTTGCATAAAAACGTTTGTAGTCTGCATTAGACAGATAATCCCTTGACAATGGTGATTTGCAAATACACCAAAGTTCGCCTGTTCCTTCCTTTTTTCACAACGTGTCACAGATTTTCTTTAATCTGTGTATGTATATTTAATGTGCAGTGATTTCTAGCCCGAATCAAACAGGTGAATCACGACAGAGAACCCTAACATAGAAATGGATAAGAGATAAGAACAAGACAACTTGAACTCCACAATTGGAACATTTGGAAGTTGAACCTTTTTTTCTAGAAGAACTCGAATATGCCCCATGAACAAAGTAGATCTTTCTGTTCTATGTATCAATGAGACAGATGATCATGTGAAAATAAAACCAGCATAAAAGAGGCAGATTTATGTACAGCGGTTAGAATAAAACGTTCGATATAACCGTACAATATATATATATATATATATATATATATATGTATATTTCTTATAAAAGAGATTTTATTTAACATTTTAATGTATCGCAGTTCGTGTAAATTTTTGTATAGTCATCAATGAATTGATAGCACACTGCGTTGCATTAAAATTCAAGCTTTCAGATTCGAGTTTTTCAAGTCTTTAACTTCTTCCAACGTCCCACTCTATGCATGGGTAGTTAAAATAGTACCAGAAACACGTTTTATAGAACCAGTAGTCCAGCAGAGCTTAGTTGCAATAGAATACTATATACAGAATAATCTGGTATTTCACCAACGCAACTGGAATTTAAACTGGGTAGTTTCACGAGAAGGATTTTCCTAAACTATCCACCAGTAACGTGGTTACTTTTGATCGGTGATGTTATTACTCATCATCGCAACCAGGAGAGAAGACCTAACGCTGAGTAGCTGTTTTCTCCTTTCTCGCTTTCGCTTACAGCTCTTTCACGAAATATTAATATCATAGCCTTTCTTTTTTTTCCCCTTGGCTTTTCTGCTTCATTTTTCGTTTCTCTCGCAATCCTGGCAGTGGATATCGGCTTTTAAGTCGATGTGTTTCACATTGACACACACCTGGTGCGCGAAACGTTTTAAGAGATTACAAAATGGAATAGATAAACTGACTATATGACTCTATCCGTCGATCTGAATCGGATTAAAAAGTAAGTTTGCCTCGTTTCTCGTTCGCTATCCGAGCGCAAAAGAAATTCTGATCCCTGCCGATCATGTTGCTGATAGCTTATGATACAATTCCTGAATGAAACCTTGATCCCTCCTTTCAGAACTTCCTTATAACTTTTGACTTTCTTCCGTCTTATAGCATAATAATTTTCCAATGTTTTGTAACATAAAAGTCAAAATAAATTAGAATTTATAAATACGCAATACAAGATATATATTTAAATACTTTCTTGTCATGAATTAAAAACTTACAACTTTGAATCTTTTCAATTGTCCAGCTATCCATGTTCCAAAATAGACGAATCAAGATTTTATCATGCTTCTGAATAAGAGAAGAAGCTAGGAGGGAGAAGAGGACAGCGACGAGATCCGATCTCACGATTAAGTACTTCCTTTTGCCATTGTCGTTCCATTGAATGCTCCTCGGTAGGTCCTTTGTGCTTTTGAGTTGAGAAAAGAAACGAATCGTGCTCTTGGTGATTCTATTGGCGGACTATGGCGGCCTATAAATCGATTGTCTCATGACTGCTAGCTCTGTTTTCTTGATTTACCGTGCTCTGACATTGTCCCACGTATTTGAAAACCTGTTTGGGTGACTCACGGAGACACAGGTTCTAGAGAAACCGAGCTACAGAAAGATTCCCCTCAGATGCGAAAGTGAAATATTGCAGTTTGTACAGAGTGTTTATGGAGTCTTGATCTACTGCTGAAATCCTTGAAACTTTTTGAATATTTATCATTTTGGTGGATTATTAATTAGAATACCATATAAATTGCTTAATAATAGAATTATGAGTATATTTGTCAATTAAAAACTCAATTTAATGTCTTTTAAGTCCTTGAATTATCCTTGCAAATACAACTTTTTCCATCTATATAATTTGTCTTTATTTAATTTTATATTATACTCCGCTCAAAATCTCATCGGAGGCTCTATTTCATTAAATAATTTTAAGAATTTCACGTTGCTTTAATCTCCAATTTACTTTGAGCACAGTATGATATCAATATCATCATGCACCACCAAGCTTGACAGATGACACTGATTTAATAATTCTGGACGCAGCTTCCTTCGCTACATTTCACAGTGGAATCAAACAGACAAAGACAAGACAATAGGATTCCTGATAATTGTACAAAAGATTAATATATGGTATGAAAGAACACAGACTTTATAAACACCCTGTACGATTTCCTAAATGAACATTAGATAGTGACGATGAACAAGTCAAATGTGTTAGGTCTTGATGATATGTTATGCTTCCTAATTGATCCTTAAAACAGAATGAAATGAATAAAACAGCTATCAATTTTTCTCTGATTATAGAAGCTCACTTTTATGATAGACAATAATGGTCTCTATATATACAGGCTTCTGGAGAAAAGATAAGTACATTTTCTGTTAAAACAACAGACTTTGGGAAGATTCCAAAAGAGACCAATGCATCTTTCAACTCACCCTGACAGAGTATTTTATACATAAAGTAATATTCTTATGAAAATCAAATGGAATTGCTTCTACTGACAGAAATGGATGAAAACTGTTCCGATATGTTTGAATCAAGTTCCATGAAAGTTAAGTAGGCGAATACGGTAATGTAAATGACGAATGAATGGCGTGTGAAAAGATATTAGTCAAGCAAGCAAACATTTAAGCCGGACCGACGTGCACGCAGACAGTAGGCAGCCAGTCTAACATTTTAATGGATTATTATCAGGCATCGTCTGTTGCACATTGAACTTAAAATGCTTTAAATAAAACACACGAAGTTTTGCGCACAAAAAAATGAGCGAAGGTGTACAATAGAAGAGTGAAGACACTTGTTGATACAGGGAACATTAAATGCATGAATAGTAAGTTCCAGATTCCTCCATCTTACATTATTTCTTTTATATATATACATATATATAAATATACATATATATATATATATATATATATATATATACATCCATTTATACAATAAATATATCTTCCGAAAATTAATTAAAATATTTAATATAGTTTAATTTATGAAGTAATAACAATTTCTATTAAATGGAGGAATCTCAAGCAATCTTTAATTTCTGAAGTTTCATTTTGATTGATGTTAAAATAGAATAATGACTTTGATTGAACGTAAATTGTTTGTCTCGTTTTCTGTGCTCGGTTTCCTAAGGAGGAACATGAAAGAGGCTGAACAAACATTTCTAGAGCCGATGAATTGGGCCGCCTCGTGAAGAAGCTCGGACGGACAGGCTGAACAGGCCTCTGTTTTCAAAACGAACCTTAAGTACTTGCAGCTCTCTCTTTCTCCCAGAATTCGAAAGAAGCGACACCTGACTGTTTCGAACATCTTTAATAAAAGGAGCATTTCGTTCTAACTCCGCAGGAGAAAAAAGGAGAAGAAAAGAAAGAAGAAGAGGATAGATCATGTCTTGGAATAAAAACGCTCTTCCTTGGAGAGAAGACAGCAGGAATGAAGGTACTATGGAGAATCCAGTGGTCTCTCGGATAAAAAGCAATCGCTTGTGAGAGCTAGAATAAAAATTATGATGAAATATGAAAAACCTAACGTTAAAAAAAAGTAAAACCTTGATA